ATATGGGTTCTCCTTCACAAAAGGAACATCACTCAGCATGTGCATTGCCGCCTTGACATTTTCATCCGATCCACTAAATTCGAATACTTGTTTGTTGAACGCGATTGAAACACCCGTGAAGGCCGCCACATCGATCAGGAGCTTTTGCACCTCGAGGGCCTTAGGCAACAGGCGAGCAATCGGCGAATCCATAACCCACCAAGAGGCATTATAAAACTGTCCGCAGATAACCATTATCGCTTTGATTGTGCGTTCCAGGTGAAGAGTTTCACTGCCTTGTACGCGAATCAAACTAGCCGGAGACCCCAGAACGGGAAGTTGGACAAACGTCCCATTTGCATCCATGATTTTCTTCACATCGTCTAATCTCTGAAGAAGGATATAATCAATCTTGGTAAGTGTTATAGAAACGTCCTTGACGAATATTCTCATGCCCAAAGTCTAAACAAATAGTCAGTCTTGAGGTCTGCACGCCGATCCTAGAAAGATTATGCGCAAGTTACCAGGTTGAGAAGCATTCTCTCCGCCTTAGCAATATCCTCACGGGAACTGCCGGTGATGAATATCTGGTCGGGATCGCGCCGGGTGCCGCCCGGGGGTGAATACCCATATACTTGGGGGAACGGAGGGGGGAAGTAGATGGCGGTTCTTGTGGCAGATTCGATCAATTTGACATTTTTGCGTCCGCGGCCGCAAATCATGCTCTGAACGGACAGCTCCATGAACGTAGGGATGACTTCTTGTCCAAGCTAGAGGAATCCATAAGTTAGACAAAACATCAGACGATACCAGGAATGGAACAACCAACATGGTACTCAAGTCGTCAGATTGAAGTTGCGTTTTTTTTTTTTTTTTTTTTCGGTGCGTCACCACAAAAAAAATATAACTTCAATCCGACGATTTGAGCACAGTGGCGAAACCAAACTTACCAAATCATCAATCATGATCAGAACCCTAGTCTTGGCATGCTCAACACTCTCATAGTCCCCGAAAATACTAATCTTCAGCCTCCTATTTTGGCTGGCCTCAGAGCCCTGGTCTACCGCGACGATCGAGGTCGGTTCCGGAGGCTTCAGGACAAATATGTCTGTTCCCGTAAACTGAGCAATCCTCTCCAAATGAACAGTGATCCGTGTATTTGGCACACCGTCCGAAAGGTAATACTGATCATGATCAATGTTGACACAAGAATTCCGCTATTTGGAAGAGAAAAATTATTAGCAATTATGCCCCAACACCTGCTGTGATCGCGATCGGCCAAGTGAGCCACTTACCATTGCAACAGGCACGCTCTGCAGAATCAAACCCCGAGTCTTATGAACCTCAGCAGGCTCTCCTGCAATCCACAGTCCCACAGAGGTCGTCTGCTTTTTCCTCAAGGCAGTCTCAGCAGTCAATTCTGTCACGGAGACCGTTGTTCTAGCCACCAGCCCCGGAGACAATCTCTTGCACAGCTCCCGGACATCGTTGATACTCTTCTGGTGCACAGGAAGCCTGCTTGTCGGAAGGTTGGGGGGCGAGTCGGGCGGATGCAGCCATCGTTCCCTCGCTTGGGAGGTGGCCAAAATTATCTGATCTGGATCCGGACCCGGTATAAACGAGAAAGGAATTGAGAATGCGTAAGTAAGCGATTCGAGTGTCGAATTGTCCTCATCGGATGTAAGCATGTCGTTGCCACCCACGGCATCGGAGACGTTAGAGGAAGAAGTGACGTCGAAAGTTGGTTTCTGAGGAAGGACATGGTGAATTCCGCTGGTTAGACCCAAGGTAGTAGCCATGTCGAGAAGTCCTTGTTGAAGCGTGAAGATGACTCTTTAAACCCTTTTCCTTCGAGTTTGTCGAAGGAGGATTGGAATGGATTGTGGAGAGATAACACGACTTTCAAAGCGTGTTTGGGTGAGTATTTGCTGGGGTATTTTGGTGGGTAGCCGTATCCCGTCGTATCGATTGGGAATTTCAATAGTGACGGCAATTGCAACCGGAGATCAAACACCCCGGAACAAATGATGGACAGGAAGCGAAGAGAAGCGAGAAAATGAGAATAAGCAACGGGAGAGAGGGTATGAAAAGGAATAAAAATATATATAATAAAAGAAGGGGAAACACGAAGGACAGTCGGAAGACGGGGAGGATCGGTGGTGGGTGAGAAAAGTAGTAAGTTTTAAGAATATTTTCTCTTTTATGAAGAGAAAGGAAAAGCGAAAGAGAAGGGAAAAAAAAAAAACTCCCCGGGGGTGACGGGGTTAGATTGTGGGTTTGGTGGTGACGGATTGGCAACGGTTTGGCTAGTGCAGCGGTCTTGCAGCAGCCAGGAAGAAAGAAAGGTTGGGGGGGCGTGTCAGGCCTGGAAAGTAAGATATGTGAACGGCGGCCGGTAGACTAAAGTTCAATGCACTGTACTGAGCTCTACCGGCAACGATGCACCCTCTCTCTCTCACAGTATAGCACACGTACACAATCACTTCCGCACACCTCTCACCCCGCAGTTGATGCTGATGAAGGCGGAGGAAAGAGACGGGTGCAGGAATGGAATAATAGTACAGACAGGCAGCAAGTAAGATAGTACCGACGTTACAGCCAAAATATCCACTTGAATGGATCTGGAGCGACAGAAAAGTGCGCTTTGTGAGGAGCTGGGCTGAATTCAAGAGAAGTGAAGAAGTGAGAGGAAAGGACAGGAATATCGCTAGAGGGGTATATAGAGAAGAAAGAAGGAAAGGATCCGGAGGGGAATTAAGAGAATATATAGTTGTAATTGACGAGGTGGGGAAAGAGGGAGAAAAAATAGGACAGATTGATAGAGACGAACTAGAACCGTCAATAGTGACGACTGAGGAAGGAAAGGAATAAAAGAGGAATATCGTTTCGACCCCAAAAGAATCAACCAAACCCAACGGGAAAAAATGGGGAAAGGTAGTAATTAATTTAACGACCAATTGACATCTCAGCGTCACCGATTAAAGCAACACACACGTCCAGCGACGGTAACCCGCTAACGCCCGCCGTCGTCGACTGCTTCTGCTTCTGCTTCTGCTTCTGCTCTTGCTTCCACTCCTGCTTCCGCTGTTAGGGCGCGGTGCGGTGCGGTGCGGTACTCGTGTCTCCGCGCCAAGAATGGGCACCTCATTTGGAATAGCCCCCGCCGACCCATAAAGAGCTTTTCCAGAGGAATGCATGCACCGTCGCTGCACAGAGAGCAGTAAATCTCACCAACCTTGATTCTTCAACCCTGACACTGAGTGGCTCTATCAAGTATTATATGCTACTTTGTTTCCTCACTACTACCGATAAAATTATATTATATTGCGCCGCAGAGTCCTTGATGTAGTTCAAACATGATTTGATTTTTTTTCATATCGAGGGAGTTTTGCTGCCGGAAAGGAGCAAGTCCAATTTTCTCCAAAGAGCTACTGTCATATGGATGATACTGTTAGGCTACCCTAACAGGATACTGGTATCCCCCACCACCAGCGCAGTCTTTCAAGCGGCTTGAGCGCCATACATTTTATGGGTTCGGGGGTGCCATTCCAAGAGAGATGCCCATTCTTGGCGCGGAGACACAAGCGCAGTAGGGTGGACCAGAACTATGAATACACTACACCAGGTTCCACATCTGCTTGTAAAGCTGCCATAGTAGTTTCCAGTACAACAATGGTAAAGAAGGGACCGCCGCGGGCCAGCCCAACCTCAGCTACGGGTACAGTACGAGTACAGACGGTCATGGAAAGAGCGACGGACAGTCATACGGGCCTGACTCTGGCCCCGTTGCCATGTTCGGGTTATCAACTCCTTCCCTCGCGGTCCTTTCACCTTCTATCTACTCGTATAAATTATAATGCTTCCCCGTTGATGCAAGAGATAAAGAACCAGGACCGCACTGCATGAAAGGGAAATAAAAAGAAGCTAAACCAGAACAATCCAAACGGAACCTCAATCTATCGCGCTGGTAAAGTAAAAAAACACCTTCACTCGCTTGCTGACTTGCTCAACCAGTCATACCATATTTACATTCGCCATACTACCGTACCGTGTCATGTTTGCCCCATGATGAGAAGTAGCGAAAAATAACAAGGAAACAGACGCATACTCTAGAAGCGCTCGAAGCCATCAGAAAGCTTGAATACTCGAGTACAAGAAACCCGTGGGGTAGGTTGAGCTAGGCGGGCAGAACTCTCTCTTCCCTCCCCTCCCTCGCCCTCCGGTGTGATACCGGTATTTACCCCCCGGCCCGCTCGGCAGACTTGAGTCCAACACTAAAAGATTCTTTGTCTCATGGGCGCCATCAAAATCCGTAACCTATCTGTCCCCCCCCTCTCCAATCTGGTAAAACCGCGATTTCCCCTTACCACAAAACGCCATCCATCCCTCCAGACATATGTACCGCACTGTATGATACAAAACGCCAATTGAGTGGAACGGGGAGTATGATAGTATGATACAGAGTTCCATTCAGTAGATTCACAACGTCGAAATATCACCGCACAAGCATTCCAGTACCGCGTTGCAGATACACATGCAAATTATAGACCAACCCATCCCATCCACCGTATTTCACTTTGGCAGTAGCCTCTATCGTACTAGTACGAGTATTGTAACCTTCGATAAGAAAAACCGACCACTAAGGAAATAATTCAGCGGTCCATTAACCGTAGGAACTGCATCCAATTGAACCACAAAATAACACTCTTCCGAACCAGAGGAGAAAGTGGGCTAACCAGTTATGACACTGTATTGTGACCGGGTAAATATGTATCATAACTTTAGAGTACACAAAATAATCCGAAGCGCAAACAAGCAAACTCTATAATACTGTATCATATCGACGATCATGTAACCCGACCTCCTTTTTTTAAAAAAAACAAGCCTTTTCCTCCCTCCCTCCCTCCAACCCATCGCATCGTGAATCCCTACAGTAGCCCCCGGCATCTTGCCAACAGCAATCTATCATACGGCGCGATATGATTAGATCACCAGTAGATCCGACCCCCCCACCGAGCTGCATAGACCAACTAAGATTCTCACAGGCACTTACATCCTCGCCACCTATCACAACCGGGATTAAGGGTTACAAAGCAATCCTGCCACCGATCCTTGGATTTCAATTTGATACGATATTTTTATCTCCGCTGTTGCCCCCCCCCCCCGAATCGGTTGAGAAGGGTTTAGTTTATCCCCAGGTACCGTATCGCTAGCTAAAGGCAGCTTTAGCTTCAAAAGGAGGATGGGTGGTGATTACTCTATTATGTCGTAGTGGCTTTTGGACAGGGATATCTATGGACGGGGGGATTGGAACATCATCCATGGGATATTATATGGCGGGGTTGGAAGTGTTCACATATCAATCGGTGGAGGAGATTCGCGTTGGATGGGATTGGGTGATTGTTGAGATGTTGGAGGTGGGGGGGGAGTGTAGCCGAGTAGAGGATGTGGTGGAGGCGGTTCTGGCCATCTGGAAACAAAATTCGACACTAGGATTGGGACAGCGTGGATGGTGTGATATCATACTCTGACCTTCCCAAATTTATTTTAGCCCTGTGGTGCGGGCAGATTGCAGGAAGAAATATAATTTATTTATCCTTGTATCGCCGAAAGAAAAGAATATCGTAGCACCAATCCGCCCCCGGTTCAGCTATCATACTCTATTCTCATCGAAAAATCCTTCACACAGCAAACTCAATCACATGAAATCCACAGACTCTCACTCGCCGTACAAACTTTTTTCTCTTAGTTGTTAGTCTCCATGGCAGCTGGATCCCTGAGAATGAGTGACAGACAAAACAACCAAACAAGCATGCGAAAATGTTCATCTCATGCCACCCACTCTGATTGGATAGTGTTTTAGATGCATATTCACAATAAATAACACATGACGGGTACAGTACAGTAGACGATCGCGCTGGAGCAGAAGGCACTTTAGAAGCTTTTATGTACCGGTACACCCACGAAACCTGCACTATTACTATTACAAAGGTAGCTCGCCTGCAGTACCTCCCCACCCCCAATTCAAGAAAGCAAATGCAAAAGGTATACTTGGCAACAATGACTCCATTTCAAGCTGATCTCCCACCGCTCCCCATCTCCCAGTAAGTAAAACCGTCATCGCCCGCAGGTGTACAAGAAAATAGCAATCCCCATTGTCCGACTTTATGCCTTCTCCCTTTTTTGAACAACATGACTTCTACGCACAAAATCCCCCCACGAACCGATGATGTTACAATGATATAGCAAAGGTAGAATTGACAGAAAAAGGAAAGTTCGAAATCGGGTATTATCAGGGGTTGCCCCTATACCTCCCTTCGCTATATCCGCTCCCGGCAAACGGAGGCAGGGGTGGGTGGGGAGGAGCAGGGTGGGCATAGGGAGGAACAAGGTGAGGTGGTTGCATGTGTCCTGGCTCTCTAGGACCCGGATCGGCGAACCGGTCCCTGAAGCCAGCATCCGGCCTGACACTTGCTTGTCTCCTCGGCGCATATTCCCCTTCGCCATAAGCCCTGGTTGGGTCAGGCCTCACACTACCATGTCTAACTGAAGGCTCTCTACCATGAAAGTAGTTGTCCACACCGTTGGAATACGGGCGGTCTTCACGTCTCGGGCTAGCTCTGCTAGCCTCAGGCCTGTATTCAACGCGACGCTCTAGATGGTCTTCTGGCCTTACACTGGCCCTAGAAGAGGAGGGGTAATCTGCTCTATGCTCGGGGGCATAGCCACCTGTCACTGGTTGAGGTGGTGGCATCGATGGTCTCGCCGGAACATAGGGATAATCTCGAGTTCTATAACTTCTGTCATCAAACCCCCTAGGAATAACGCTGCTCTCGGGTCTCGGCGGGTATTCGTCAAAGCGCATAGAACGATAAGGATCATAGTAACCCGTAGGTCTCTCACGAGGCGGCCCGTAATAAGACGCATAATCTCCGGGGTACTCGGGACGATACATAGGAGGCTGGGGTGGTGGGTAAGGCCTGCTGTACATGTCGAGACGATGAGGGGACGGTGGTCTAGTCATTCTACTGGGTGGTCTGTACTCTGCCCGGGAGACTGGACGCGAATCTTTTGGATTGCGAACCCTAGAGGGCGAAACAGAGCGCGGTGAACGTTGAGAGTAGTTGACGGGCGACGCCGACCTTCTACCGGAGCGTGTGGGAAGGCGCGAGGGGACCGCAGATGGCGCCGCGTATCTACGATCATACTCGTCATACGGTCTAGGAGCATGATAGTATTCTGGATCGTAAGGTGGATAGCGAGTATATACAGGCGCAGGTGCTGGAGGTGGTGGAGGCGGAGGTAGATGATACCCAAAGGAATCGTACACATGATGGCCCGCCGCGGGTGGGTGTGGGTGAACTGTAGGTTGGTAACTATAGCGCTGGGGTGGTGGGGGAATTGGGGGGTAATCATGACGCTGGCGTTCATCGTACGTGTCTGCAGGACCCCCCACCCTTGTGACACGCGGGGGGTGAACATCAGGGAATGGTGATCTCGGTTCTTGTTTGATAAGAGGAACTGGAGAAATTGGAGAGACATTATCTCTACGAAGCTCTCTCTCTGGATTGCCTGCATATCTTGAATATGGAATTTCATCACCATCATCCTCAATCTCAACAATGCCTCTTGGACCCTGTGATTCCACACGTGCCATGTTTGCTGGGCGAACAGGCTGAGGAGCAGCAGGAGATTTAAGATGGCTAGTGGTTGAATATCGAGGGCTTGCAGGAGGCGAGTAAGGGCGTCCATGCGCAGGCGCTGGTTCGTAACCATCATTATTCACATCCAACGGAGCATTCGCACCCTTAGGCGATGGCACAGCGGGAGCCTGGGCTTTTGGAGGCTCATAAGCTGTATCAATGGCCAATCGCTGCGACGTTGATTCTTCGACCGTAGGGGTCTCCTTGTCTGAGCTGAATTGGCGTGGAGTGAGAGACTCTTTGGGGGGCCTACGGGAAGCTTCAACTACAGTTGGAAGAGTGCTCTCCACTGGCCCACTCCACGTTTTCCTTGTCATATGCCTATCTTGATGCGTCTCAGGGTTCCCTGAACGGATAGCAGTTTCTGAGTTTTCATTGCCCTCGGCGACTGGCTTACTAGGAGCGGAATTAATCGAACGGATTGTTTCTTTGAAAGAAACGCCAGCTTTCTTCATAATAGATTCCAGCTGGTCAGAAAACACATCGGTGCTCGGATCCCATAAGTTAATGTGTTCAACAGGCTCAGCACCCGTCCAAACCTTGGCTTCAACCTCAAGCTTTCGTTTTTGCAGTTCTTTTTCAATCTTTTCCCTCTTCAACCTTAACTCCGCCTTGACTAAAGTATCAGATTTTGTCAAAAAGACATTGTTGATTTTAAAGTCTGTGCACTGAGGAGCTTGTAATCCTGGCGCCTGAGAGAGCTGAGCTCCATCAGATGAGGTGGAGGGATTTTTTTGTAGAGGCTGGGGAGTTGTTGCTTGAGAAGATCTCGGATGATTTGCTGGCTTGAATCTAGGATGCATGCCATCGCGGATTTTATCGCGCAGTCGTATGATCTTGACATACTCGCGAAGGTCTTCTTCAGATTCCTGCAATGGGTCCGAGTTACCAGGCCCCGGTTTCAAAACATCCGTAGGCATTGCGCGAATCTGCGAAAGAGTGAAGTAATGTCTCTTGGCTGAGAAAGGTGACGCAAATTAAGGATCTAGGGAAAACGGTGAGTGTATGGAGCCGAAGCTCGAGTGAGTTGGGTGTGCGAGAGGGGGAGAGGAGAGAGGTTCGGGGGAAGAGGAAGACAAGGGTGGAGAAAGTGACGGGTCATAAGCATGATCAGATAATTGAGGGCTTGGCTAAATTACAGGCGCCAAGCATTATATTTGAGATAAGATGAGATGAGATAAGGGGTGGTTGGGTTGAAGCCAAAGACCTCGTGATTTCTCGCCGGATACGGTACTTGTGCCTGCCTGAATAACTCTCCTCTTCCCCCTCACCTAACCAACGAATAAATTAAAAGCCGAATTTGTCATCTCTCCCAGTTTCCCCCATGGCCACAGATACTCAAGATAATCTGCCTGTGTTCTTTTTTGACATTGATAACTGTGTATGTGGGCACAATCATCTTGAAAGTTGTGGTTTTGAATTAATCATTTACAGCTATATTCCAGGAGTAAGCGGGTATGGACTCCGGGTTGAAGATTTTGAGCGAAGGTGCAGGCAATTGTATCTATACTCATGCCTCTTTAGGTTCAAGACATGATGAAGGATCTGATTAACAAATATTTTCGAGAGCAACTTCGTGAGACTTTCTCGGTTCTGCTTGTGCATGAGGCTAAGCTCACAGTGAGTCTAGAATTGAACCAGGAGGATGCCAAAACTCTTCACGAAACATATTACAAATCGTACGGCCTTGCTATTGAAGGTCTTGTTCTCCACCACAAGATAGACCCCCTCGAATACAATGGTAAAGTCGACGACGCACTCCCCCTAGACCAAGTTCTTCACTCGGATCCGCAGTTGAGAAAGTTGATCTCGGATATCGACAGGACAAAGGTGAGGCTTTGGCTATTCACCAATGCATATATTACACATGGAAAACGGGTGGTTAAGCTCTTGGGTATTGAAGATCTTTTTGATGGTAAACAACACCTTGCGCTAGAATCCTCGATTATTGCAGTTACGTGTTGCTGCTCGAGTGCTCGCGTTCTTGCTGACAGATTTTAAGGGATAACATATTGTGACTACGCTCAAGAGATTTTGATATGCAAGCCCAAGATTGAGATGTTTGAGAAAGGTTTATTATACTCCAGAGAATCTTGTGATCCAGAGATTTTGCTAACAGACTGTCTATAGCTATGAGGGAAGCCTTGATAACTGATCGGTCGAAATGCTACTTCGTGGGTAAGTTTTTTGATTTATGGGCCTAGAGCTGAGTTATATAATTTCGACGCTTACAGGTGCAAAAAACCAATTCAGATGATTCGACTATCAACTGTCAGGCCGCTGTCAGATTTGGGTGGGAAAACACCGTCCAGAAGCTAGAGCCTAGTGATCCGGAACCATCGGTATCAGTTGCAAAACACAATATTCGGAGTCTAGAGGAGCTTAGAGCTTTATATCCCGAGTTTTTCAAACCGCCAAATTAGATATTTTTGGTTGCAAATGCCCCTAGTGGTGTTTCCTGTCGGGGGTGATCGGCTACAGAATAGTCCTGGTGTTTGGTCTTGCCATAAACAATTGAACAGACCGTGAAAGCGAATAGAGTCCGGAATGAGATGTCGCAGACTTATGTGCTCTTGGATATTACATATTGTCCAACAAACCCGACCATCATGGCCCTGCCCCTCACAAACCACGCTCGACGACTTCCTAGAAAGTTATTGACAATCAAGTAGCTCTTACCACCTTAAATCAGCCACCTACGTGAACATGCGAGATCACTCGCGGTTTTGTTTTCGGGGTTTAGCCTGTAGCAGACGGTCGGGGGTATTCCGGCAATATTTGCTATTAGGTAAGAGGGTTTTTAGTGTTTGATTGCGCCCAAGCATCTCTCTACGGAATCTCAAAGAGAGAAGTACTTGTCCAACATAGTAGTCTAGATGTGCCATTCGATTCCTGCCGAGTAACTGTATGCATATAATTTTTGACCTTACTGTAAACTGCTAACATTTAACGAACACGAGTTTTTTTTTTGGAGGGAGAGCTTCAAGTTGCGAGCAGGATATTGCCTTTATCCAATAACCCATGGGGTGATGCGGTACCACCTAGAAGGGTGTGTGTGCAAGCGAAAGTCGGAATATAAATACTGTCTATATCTATCTATCTACCTTCCATACTGATCAGTGCAGTATTTGATCGACAGAAACGGTTTCCCATTTCTTCCCCCTGAAGAACAGCACATACCCGATCCAACCCTCACTTCCTCAATCCCCGCTCCCTTCCACCCTCAACTCCGCCCGCCCACCAACCAACCTCTAATGCCCCCACCGCCGCTGCCCGCAACAAAATAAGTTAGCGGAAGCCCTGGCCAAGTGCGGGCGCTGGAAGAAGCGCCAATGGGTCCGCGACGCGAGTCGGCAGTGATAGGCGCGGCGGGGGAGCGGGGATTGCATGATTTGCGGGGTGGGGTATAGTGTTAGGTACAAGGACGGGGAGGAGGGGTGTTGGGATTTTGTGATATTGATAGAGAAGAAAGGGGGTGGCTGTTGTCCTAGGGGAACAGGGTTGAGTGCGATGCCCAATCAATCGTTGTGAGGGCTTCAGGTAAAACGAGATATTATTATGATGATATTTTTACGGGATAGCAGGGTGCACTGCCCTGAGTTCGTTCTCCGTATATTTCGAGGAGCATCATAATTACTCACAAGTCACACACTCCCAGCATCATTAACATTTTCAATTACCCCAATCAGGTATTTCACAACCTTCAAAGTGTGGTGGAATGTATTATTTTGGATTGCAAAAACCATATCATTTGTTTGTGAGCTCGCGCACTCGTACCGACTCAATAAGTATGATCCCAAATATCAACCCATAGAGCCCCCATGTCCCATTAGCATCGCCGTCTACGGGCCCACCCGACTCCTAGAGCCAGGCCAGGTCAGGTCAGATCATCACTTTTGTAACATTCAGATAAGCTATGGAAGACAACAAAGGGGCAAAATGAAAACCATGAATAAAGAAAGGGAACTAAAAGAGGAAAAAAAGTTATCATAAAAATCACCCAGAAAAGGCTATTTCCCAAACTCCAATTCTCTTAACTACGAGAAACAAGTTAATTAGTAATACCAAATCATTTCTTCTCAAACATGGCCCACCGCGCAGCAAACGCTGATCGGGACGGGTTGTCGACCGTTGGGGTATTGCTATTGCTAACACTCTTTCTTGCCTCGTTCCTGGCCTCATCTCGGGGGAGGCTGAATCTCTTGGGTCGAGCTTCGGCCGGTATTCCTGGGGCAGACGGTCGGCTGGGGTCCACTCTTGGCTTCTCCCTGTTTAGGATACTGGCAGTTGATTCCGCTCTTGTATGTTGTCTTGCTACTCTTGCGGGGTCAAACACCGGTGAGTTCGTCCGCTTTGGCTCTAATCTCGAAGGTTCTGTGTTTACATTTGTAGGTTCAGGTTTTACTCTCGATGAGTGTGGCATTGGCCTGGAGCCGATAGGCCGAGTAGGGGCACTGCTAGGCGTGGTGGGAGCCCTGCTGAGTGTGGTAGGAGCCCTGCTAGGTGTGGTAGGAGTAGGAACTCTGTTAGGCGTAGTTGGGGTGGGTGCCCGTTCTTGCGCCTGGGGAGCTGCGTCTTCGGTCCTTCGCGCTTTCCTCTCTTCCCTCCTCTCCTCCCCTTGTTCCATGGTTCTAGCCCTTTCCATCCTTCTTGCAATCATCTCCCTCCACTGAGCTTCCTTGTCTTCGATTTCGTCTTTCGTTCCATCAGGGATAGTCTGCTCGGTCCTCCTGCGAGTGGCCGGCGGAAGCTTCTGTTCTTCGACCGCGGGTGCTTTCTTTTCCTCCCGTTTAATAGGGCTTTCCCCTCCTTGTTCCATGGCTCTGGCCCTTTCCGCCCTTTTTGCAATTCTCTCCCTCCATTGAGCTTCCTGGTCTTCGATTTCGTCTTTCGTTCCGTCAGGGATAGTCTGCTCAGTCCTTCCATGAGTTGCCAGCAGAGGCCTCTGCTCTTCGACCACAGGTGCTCTCTTTTCCTCAACGCGAATAGTCCTCTTTTCGTCCCGTTTAATAGGGCTCTTCTCCTCAAAAACAGGCCCACTCCTCCTCTCCCCGACAGGGGGCGCTCTCTTCCTCTCTTCGACCACAGGGGCGGAAGCGGGGGTCGGGGCTCGTCTTGAAGGGGGTTCCTCCTTTTTTCCCTCAATAACCAGTTCTAGCTCATCCTTCTCTTCTGCAGAGGGGTTGGGTGGGGCCGGTGGACTTTGGAGACCAGCGTCAACGATTCCCAGGCCAATGCCTCTCCCCTTATCCAGATCTTTGATCACCACATTAGCAGGAGCAGCGCTACCAGAAACACTAGCTCTCTGCGGCGATGAACGTCCAGAAGAAGGGGCATATACGGCTCTCGACCTCGAATCAAAGATGGCCTCTTCAAAGGAGTTCTTCGGAGGGTCGGCTAGTGGTGGTCTGGGTAAAGATCGGTCACTCCCGTCACCCTTTACAGGCTCAGACGAGGGACTTGAAGGCGTTTGGGCAAACTTCTTTCTCTTTTCTCCAGCCCATGTCGCCCAAGAGGAGAAGTAGGCACCAGCACGAGAGGATGCATCGGCAAGTACCGGAGAAACAACAGCTAACCAACCCAGTTAGTACCTATTGTATATATAGATAGTGACTGCAAGTGAACCTACTAGAAGGAATTGTCATGCTTGGGTTGCTGTCAGTAGACGGTTTTTCTCCTGTCTCAATACTGAGCTTTTGCATGGAGTCTTGAGACTGCGATTTCCGCTGTTCCCTAAACTTTTCAACGTTCTTGGATAGATTGTTGAAAACAGTGGATACATTAACACGGCCATTAGCAAGGGTTTTTGCCAACACCTCTTTACTATTCTGCACCTTCTCCTCCAAACGTAACTCCTGCATTTGTCTATACCATATCGCCAAGTCAGCTAAACACTAATATATGTGGGCGCTGTGCTTACTGCAGGATTCTTCTCTGTACATCTTCCATAGTCAGCCCACCAGCCATTACATGCTTTGGGGGCACAAGGTCGAACAATTCGGAGTCTATGCCACAAGGGTAAGCCCAAATCTCTTCGTCACAGTTCAGAAAATAATATACCTGTAAACTTCTGGAAGATTCTGAAATTCTCGGTTTTCTTCCAGGCATCCACCCAATCCATCTGGAAATCATTGGCAGGGTCACCATCTAAGGCTTGTCAGAACACCGATTCCCAAATTTAAAACATCCGGCGGAACTTACCGATATCTGGCAGGAACACGTTCTGCTCCGAGCCTGCATGCTTTTCCAGAAATAAGTGATACTTGACGGATGATACCATGGAGAGTATGTACTCCTCGAATTGTAGTCGGATATAGTCTTCACTACCTGCGAATCCCATCGTTTTCGGCCGGGTGGGGTCCGCTTGAAAAAATTAGCATGTAATTCTACTGAGTAGGGTGGACAAATATCAAACGGACATTCATCCCAAGACTCGGAAACGGACTGGACCAACACGTCGATCCATCTTCTGTCAGCCGCAGACAGTGAAAGAGCAGCACGCAGTGACGACGATGTGACATTGATATTTTTATCATCAAGCTACAAGACAATTAGCAGTGAAAGCTCCGGGCACCAGAGCGAGGGAAATTACATTAATCAGGATATCAGAGTATCTATCCCTCTGCTGTAGTAGCAGAGAGTTAGTTGATCCGACAATATATGACTTTGTGCCAAAATCTGCCAGTACATCGAGCTGCTGCAGTGGAGTGTAGGGCCCAAACAAGCTTCCTCTCCCGAATATTTGGAGCGGTAATCCCATAAAAGTCAATACTGCAGCTTCTGTTAGACTATATCAAGCTATAATTATCTAAGTGGGGAGTACAAACATGACTTTCGGTCACTCGTTTTAACAGAAGTAGGTTTTTTCAACTTGGATTCATAATTATTCATGTCCGGATCACCACAGTCTTCCAGGTTTCGCAGGAGTCCTGGAATGAGAGATAGCAGCGAAAACTGTGTCATGCATAGCCTCTCACAGCTACTACCAAAAAAGAGCATCTAAGGTTTTCCCGCATGTCAGACCAAAGCAACAGAATGGTTTGGGAGTAAAACCTTGGGCTGCAGCAGAGCACATTTAAACAACACGAGTGTTTGATGTTTGAATTCATACACAAACTCCCGCAGTGATAAGCCTAATCTATTAGCTCTGGACCCCGAGCTCCCGCCAACAGGCCCATTGGAATTCACAACGCTCACCAACAAATTGATCACGTGAGCGATCAGTCTCATAGTCCCTTATGCTCGTTTTTAAGCTCTCTTGGAATTTCTATATGCGCATATATCAGCCCACTATGTTTCCAGAGTTTGTTCTGATAGCCCGGGAGGTTTCTCACCCGTATTATGTCGAGGTCCTCAAAGTTCCTATAATTGCGGACATCCGGTAAGCCACCGCCAGTGAACGGGGGAGTAAGAGAGGAGGGAGGAAAGCCCCGCCCCACAGGACCTTCCTCCCCCCCCGTACCCACGAAGCAAACCAAGATACGAGCCCATACCTCTGCGCAAACCAAGCTGTGGTGACAGCCGATAGCTGTTGTTTCAAGTGAGAGAAGAAGAAGGTAGGACTATCCGCAATTACCACCACAGCCTTCTGAACCGTAGATCGCGTCACATCGGCGGGCCTATCCATTAACTCACTGGCGTCTAACTGCCTCGTGCACGATATCCCAAATAGAGTGGTAGGTCCCGCCGGCGTTGTATGTTTCAGGGTGAAATACGAGAAATCCTCCTCCGAAGCATGAGCACCATCTGCTAGCGCAAGAAACGGCAATAGCGGCCAATCCGATATATCGTCTTCCTTCTCTAAGCCTATCCAAGTTTCCACTTCGGGTCCCCTAAAAAAATTCGCAATAAAGGCTCCCAGGTTAGCATGTTGCAGCTTTTTTAAAAATAAAAAAACCGAGAACTGCCAGTTGAAACTGGAAGGGGATGGGGAATGAGAAGTGGGGAAAGGGCTCGAAAAAGAAGTACCTTGCATGGTGGAACCCCACAATCGTTACGACTGGGCTCCGCTGAGGTTTGTCCATGTGGGAAAATTGTAGCGCTCGGTGTGAAGGTTTAAGATCTCAAGATGTTGTTTGAAATTCGAGGGCGGGAAGGTGTAAACAAAAAGGTAAGCCAGCGTTATCTCAGTGGAGCTGAAAAGAAAACAAAGGGATGGAGACTGTACACGTAAGCGTATTCAACGTCACGGGTCTCGAGGGGACAGGAGTCTCGGAGTCGCGCTCCCAGATAAGTATACTGTGCTCGTACTGGCAAGCGCGACAAACCATGGGTTTCAGGTGGCCCCCAAACCCCGACCATAAAACCTCCGGGCTCCGGTGCTCCGGGGCCGACACCATCATGCCGTACATACCGCAAACCACTGACCCTAATATCCTCCTCGAATAGTAAATCGTCACCTTAACGGTATTTCCGATTCCTCATGTCACTCTCACCAGATTGTATCATGTAGCCTTACTCACAGTATACGGTACTTACCGTCCTAAGAAATAGAATAGGTAAGGACACTATGGGCCCAACATCTTTATTATGACATGGAGTATCACATTTACTATCCAGGGCTAATGTCCCATCGGGGTGACACCGCTCCTTCGCGCTTCTCACAGCCCCCGCAAATCCATGTCCCTCTCATCTCCCATCAAGAACCCTAATCCCTACGATATCCCCCATTGTGCTTTAGTGTTCACAACCAATCACTCGTGCATGCAGCACGCCGCACACCGACCAGACCTCCGCAGGTCTTTCCATACCGCATGCCGCAGCTCGCCGCGCGCGGCCAAACCTCATCATTTCCTACTTTGCATTGTATATAATATTATGATATCATACCAGGAAAACAGCTCTTCTTTCCTCTCATCCTTGGGAGTCTACCAGTATTCCTGAACAACCCTTTACGAGAGGTCTCAAACTTTGTTAACGGTATCATAATTATTATGATACACAGATCAACTCTTACCCCTATCAATAATTTCATAACTGGGCAGTTCATAGGCACATAGTAGGAAGAAAGTTCCAACATTTATTCCCAGTTTTAATCCGACCATTTGAGTACCGGAACTGACCAGCGACCTGCCCGCTTGTGTGCGGTAGCGTGAAATGACCAAAGAAATACAACCAGTCTAGGGCCTTGCTCAATAAATTATCACGACCCTATCCTCTTTCCTGAGATTCACCATGGGTCCTGGTGGCAGTTATCCAGTCTTTTCCTCCCCCTCTGCACCTCACCCACCCGAGAACCTCCTAGTCAGGAAATTCTTCACCGCCGATAAGATAAGGACCATTTATACAACAAAATTTGAAAACTGTCCAGGGATGCCATCACACTCAGTAGCTGGTAAAAAGCGGACACTTGGTTTCCCAGATTGTCCTCTCCCCCTCAAACATAACCAAGCACAACCAGCAATCCCTTTGCCGGGAAGGGAGCCCGGCACCGGTACCGCAAAACTCATTATCTCCCCACGGGAAGTTTCGTACGGAATCGTGCAATTAGAGATCTCGGATAAAAAGGAGTGCGACCCGATCTGCAATGCGCCGCTACTGCACGTTCCCTCCGGAAGACAGAATGGGGAGAAGACCGCCCGTACTCGGGCACAGATGGTACACGAACATTGCGGGTGCCAACACACCTCCTTGTATAGGATTCCCCCATTCTGCCTCCGGCCCCAGACAACGAGGTGGCCAGCACTCTAGTACTCAATACTTCTACTCATCGAGTGATAAGTAATGACCCACTGACACCCACTCGACCGACTAGGGAAAACAACCGCAAGTTTTCGCCGCTCAAGCACTCACGACCGCAACAAATCCTCCGCGGAGACCCACTCCAGCCGCTCGAAAACGCAATACATCCAGGAGCAACCCCCATCCAGTCAACCGCACTACCGGCAAATCCGCAACCCCCAGAACCCCACGAAAGTCCCGCGAACCGGACCAGCCATCCATCATGTGGGCACGGTGATCGCTAGACCGGACCCTTATCGGTCAGAGCAGAAAAGCTAGGAACCAGATCTTCCAAGTTCCTTTTTATAACTTTTTCGTATTTGCTTTTTATATATATTATAATATTCTATTTTCATCATTTTTTTAGGCAAATTTCGATTCGGACCAAGGATAGTTAGGGTATTTTGTTCTTTTTCCAGAAGGGTTAATGTTCCGCAGGGGTGCCGAGCGAGATATCATACGTCATTGTTGGGCTGGGGGTTTTTGGAGAGTGGAAAAAGTTTGGGGTTGTGGGTTTGGGGCCGCAGTAGCCGGTAGCCGGTATCATAATGATCCTCAAAATTATTAGACCATGATATTTTTTTTTTTTGCTCGCACGAGTGCTCGTACTGTACTGTACAGTGCTTGTATGATACGGTAGCACGGGTTTAAAGTGCTCAAGTGCATTCCCAATTATCTTCCAGCAGAACTAACGTCAAGTTGATACGGGATAATGGCATAAATATAGAGATTGGGATAACTTGAGACTGCCCTACTTCCCCACCCCTATCTCTATTTCCCATCGAACAGATCCTATACCGGTACGAAAGGACGTCGCCAGGGGGAGAACCTATGCAATTGTTCCCCTGTCCTCAACCACAGCCGCACCCGCATGGGTACCGTTCCGTAAGCCAAAATCGGATACTCTTCTCTACTTCTCTTCTCCACAGCACTCAGTAAGCGCAGATAAAGCGTCCGGTCACTCCCGGTGGGAGACGAACCGTGTCTGAACCCTTCTGCCGAGTGGGCGGAGGAAAAAACAGTGGAACTGAGGGAGAAGCTCGTGCACTACGAGTAGGTTCGGGAACTAGTGTGATACTGCAGATTAAATCTAATTAGTTAATACAAGTATTGTGGAAATAATTCCCTGCCTGAATTCGCGCATGGCATACCTGTACTTCTATTTGCCATGCTCCAATATAGTGGATACTGTATTCTTGTATCACAACAGATAACTTACCGCCATACAAGTAAAAACTTACTTCAATAGAGGCAAAAAAAAACCCCAATAATGATACTTTTGGGAAACTGCAATGTCGGCTATCGTGGCCTTGTTGTCAAGTTGCGAGGTTTCAGGGTAGTCTATTCCTACACGTGTATAGTATATATATTTTTTCTCGTTGCCCATACACTACTCTACCGTACTCGCCCAAGCCGGTCCACCGATCCCCATAAGTATACGATAAGGAAACAAGAAATCAAGAAGAAGAAAAGGTGGGGAAAAAGGTGTTTGTTTTCTCATGCCCCATCGTCCCCCAACCCTCGGAGGCCCTTATGCTGCCCTCTTCGTACAACCTGCAACTAACTAAGGCTCAGATTCAATCTGGCCCACGGTACAATGAAAAAATTGGTAGAGAAATACATGTTGTATACGCCGAAAGGGAATAGAAAACTAGACATGAAACCACTAAAGGTCCAAAACCGAAGAGTACACAAAGAAGAATTGAAGGGCAATGCGGGCCCCATCACCCGAACTTCTCAAAACTAGCCACTCATCACTCTATGACTGAGCGGACCCATCTACATTGTGATAATCCAAAATCTCTGAGTACCTTTAGGTAGTTCCAGTCAGCACTACAACCCGTAAACTTGAGTCGGGAAATGCAGAGAGTTTATCCGTACATCATGATTTTCCATGTATCAACGGGCAGGTCTGCATCGTTGAAGGACCAATCGAACTTCTCTCCTGCCACCGGCTCGTCCGTAGGATCATGGTAAGGTGCCAAATATTCGTGGGCCAAAGCTGTCTCAGCAGTAATCCTCTTCTTTGGGTCAAAAACGAGCATGTGTTCCAACAAGTCGATTGCTAAAAAAGGGTTAACCGGGCCACCAATATTCTAGAGGATTCACGATGGGGCTAACCAAGCGGATCTGCGTTTTTGAATTTCTCGGAAAGAGGTTGGCGCTCCCTCTTTGGGAGGGACTGGACGAATCTCAATGTCTGTGCGAACCATTAGCAAATGCAAGGGGGAGGGCACCCGGACGGAAAAAAGGGGGGGATAAGGCTTGCATTTTCGCTGCAGATTGTGTGAATGACATCATCAGGGGGAGTTCCAAGAAGCTCAGTGATAATCGAGAACTGGTTGACGTGGTCTTTCCCTGGGAACAGCGGCTTTCCTTCGAGCATCTCCGCAAATATACATCCCGCACTCCAGATATCCACCTCGACATCGTACTTTTGCCATGTGAGCATAATCTCCGGTGCGCGGTAGTACCTTGTAGAGACATAGCCGGTCATCTGGGGATCCTGAATCCGAGCAAGACCGAAATCGCAGATTTTGAGATCACAATTCTCGTTGACTAAAATGTTGCTAGGTTTCAGGTCACGATGAACGACGCCAGCGGAATGAACGTATTTCAGTCCGCGCTGTAACAACGTTAGCATGCACACCTTCCATTTAGTCGGCCTTTTAGGTAGCCTACCAGAATCTGGTATAGAAAGTACTGGATGAACTGCTTTTCCAACGGCCGAGAGGTTAATAATCGGTGCAGATCAGTACCAAGAAGCTCAGTGACGAAGTAACTATTCCAAATATTAGAATACAGCACGCAGCTACAGTATATAGTGAGTGCTATCGGCGTACATGTCCTCCAGAGGAGATATGAAGATATCGCTAAGACTAATGACCTATGAAATAATATCAGTAAAGGCATGGCTCAAGTAGTGGATGGTGGAGCGAGTTACATTCTCATGCCGCAAGTGCTTGAGCAGTTTCAGCTCACGGTAAGTTCTCTTGGACAAAACCGGCGTGCTGAAGGGCTTCATGATCTTCTTTATAGCGACGGACTGAGTGGTCAGCTGATCTTTGGCGGAGCTTTGGGAAATTTTTCAGCGATATTTTCCCTATGAATTGTTACAGATTCGGGGGAGGGGGCTCGTGTATTTACCAGACGAGACCAAAGGCACCCATGCCCACGGGTTGCAGATCAGTGTATCTATGATAGGTCACTGTTAGTCCACTCCATGCCGAACACTCTCTGTTTTTTTGTTTTTTTTCTCAATGAGTGGCGTAGGGAATAACCCTACCTGCTTGTAATCTCGAAAGTTGTTCCAAAGATCTGAGCGCGGACGAATTCAGCCATGTCGAAAGGTTCGGAAGAGTATAGCTAAATACTAGGTAGAAGGGCCTAGGGTCGAGGTAATCCAAGGAACTGTTGCTGTGTTGTTCCTGGGATGATGGACGAGTGGCGGGGTGAGGTGGAAGAGAAGGGTGGGGAGGTTGAAGCGGTCCAAGTGGGTAGTAAACAGAACACAGGCCGTTTCGCTTCGTTTCGTCGGATAAGTACGGTACAATCCCGAGTAGGTCCCGTGTGGCAAACAAAATGTTGCTGAGAGGATGAATTCGATAACGGAAGTGGGGTTGAAAATAATATTCTTCAACGCGCTCTCAAGGTACGGCTCTACTATTTCAAAGGGGAAGAAAAGGTGGAAAAAAGTATAAGGGGGAGGCGAGGAGAAAAGAGAGATTGGGGGGGTGTAAGAAGGTAGAGTACTCTAGACGCAGGAAGAAAGTGGAAGGGGCTTTTTCTCTGAGATGGATGAAGGTCGAAGATTAGGATGCAAAGCGAATGCATTCGCTTTTCTATCGCATGAACCTTTTTTTCCCTTCCGGACAACCGAATCACGGCAAATGGTTGAAGTCAGGATCTTTCCTTTGCCTTGGAGTCCCAAAATTCGAAAGTGAAATCACCGTGCATCAGAGGCGCGGGGTGAGAGCGGGGCTGAGTCTTTCGGAATCCTTCGCGCCCCACCTATTTCCAGCCAAGCTCGACTTTTGGCCATTCAAACAGGGAAAGACGGCCCTTTCGAGGCTCTCCCCGTTCAGTTGGGTGCCGACCGTTGCGACACCCGCGCACCCCCGCTGAACCGCTGTCCCAGCTCCCCCCTCGCCATATCATAGGTGAATGCCCTGTGGCGCAAACTGCACTACCGTATGATATTCTCTCCACATCCTCCAATCGTTGCCCCTTTTCCCATCACTTTTGCGCTGCCAAAACAGCGCCCTTCACGTTTGTCTGCTTTTGTACTACGTTACTGGCTGGGAGAAATGTCCGGTTTTTTGTTCTCTGGTGCTAGATTATCTACCACTGAATCACAACCACAGCGTTTGAATAAATAAAAAAACCCTATAGCTCCCATCCATTGTCTACAATACCGCCGTATCATATCATACTCTTTTTGGGGAGCCACATGTGTTACCTTATCTTTGACTTAAATGCCAAATCGAAGTGTGGGGGGTTACACGCTTCCCCTCCACGGCTTCTGGCACCATAGGTTAAAGCGGGAGAGTCCAGGAGAGCTATCTATACGGGGCAGTGGGATTGTACCGGTATTGCCGTTCCGTGCTGCACGATTACCACACCCGCCGCAGGGGCAGGCTTGCTGTCCCCGTTCAATAATATTAGAATTAAACTGCTCGAGTACCAACGGGTTATCGCAGTAACCACGCAAGGGTTAGGGTTAGAAATGATTGGTGTGGAATTATCATGGCGATAATCATAATATCACAAAAAAAAAAAAATTTCACTCAGCCAAAAATAATGCAATTCTAACAAACCAGCACTTGCTTAATGCCCTGCGAAAAGGAAAAAAAGAGCTCAGCCCTCATGCACCTGCCATCACCCCCCCCCCTAAAGTTGGTGGGAATCTGATAATATCATAACAATATCAATTCCCATAACAATTTCTCGCATCCTGTAGGTAAATGTCCACTTTCCCTTGTTTTCGCTCCCTCTTTCCAAGTCCAATTGTACATCCTCCTGTTTTCCCCCTGCATAATACCTGTTTCCATACTCTTCCCCCCCCCCATCCCCTCCTCCTTTCCTTTCCTGTTCCTGGAGTGGGTGATGTTTCACTATCAGCATAGCACCTGCGTTTATCTCTCCTCCACCACACATCTCGGTCACAATACTAAGCTCAGCCCTGTCACACCCTACGCCGACCTCCAAGAACAATGCACCAGTATCGTAGGAGCAACACTGCATCCCGAGCTGCCAAATGCATAAAACGCCAACAAGTCGGGACCCATCCAGACGCAGACTCAGAGTCCTTCACTTTCTTGGGGTAGATTTCGGTAGCGGTAAAGAACCGGCGGAAAAAAATATGTTGCGAGATCCAGGGACCAGGGCCGAGTGAGAATAAATGATCCCCACCTAAAATCTGCCGCCTCTAGTCACAAGATACATGAGATCCCTTTGACTTTCCTTAAGAACAACTATTTTTGGCACGGCCGTGGGGTCCCAAACACGCATGCGCCTGCACACCGGAAGAAATCAAAAAGTCAAACGAGAGGGCTTAAGAGGAGTAGCGTGAGGGAGGAAATCCAATTGAGGAAGGGGGGGGCCTAGGGATCCGTGGCCGCAGTACCATAATCATAATAAAATTAACCCAAATACACACTCTATCCAAATACACAGCCGCCACTGGCTAGCCGAATCTTGGTGACCTTTCACTACGAGCCAATCAGTGGGACTGGGTACTTGGGGATCGCAATTCATTTGGATGGTTCCGCCATTATTGCGTGGAATCGGTTCGGGTTAATGGAAATAGCAGAGAAGGCTCTAATGTGGGAAACGTCGGCGACCTATGCACATCAATTATAAAACGTTCTTCCTAAAGAGCGGATGATCTATTAACTAAGGCTATGGGGTCCGATCAATTTTCACACTGAGGCCAGTGTTAGGGCCCGCCAAGCTGGCATAGCCTCCATCAACGCAACACACAAGCCCTGTTCATCAAGACTCACTCGGTTTTCACGAGCTGTGAGCAGCCAGACTCATCAGCTGCTGTGAGCGCAGGGACTCCCACGTAATACCTTTATGTCACTCGGTAAGTTTGCTCTCATCTTGGAATCGACCAGGCTCGCTATAATTTGATTAGCGATCCATGGACGCCTGTCCCCTGGTAACTGGAGCACAGCTAACTCAATGCCTTCTGCAGCACAACCCCGCCGAGACCAATAACCTGCACAAATAGCACAGCAACGGCATAATCTCGACTTCCGTATCGCCTTCAACAACCTCTCACCTCTCCAGGCCACCATGGCCCCCACAGCCCGAAACTCGAGGAAGAAATTACTTACTAGCTGTCGTAAGATGAGTGGGGTGAGTAGAGCTGGAGTATTAGCCTTGAAACCCCTGAAAACTGGAAAACCCTGGGTGCCTGAAACAAGCAATGAGTTCGGAATTGTAACATCAAGAGCCAGCACATACCCTACCACACCTCAGCTAATCCGGCCCCCAAGAAAGAAAACCAGGGCCCCTCAGAGTTGGTAAAGCCATTGCCAGAGCTGGGCCGATGGCGGAAATTTAGTGATTCACAGTGCGCTGCTGCCAGTGCACTAGTAGCGGCACAATATGCTGAGCATCGAGTGAAATCCCTCTCCCACTCTGCCGACGAAACTTCCCTTTGCGATACGCCGCACCCGAGTAACCAAAATTTTGCGAGAAAATCGCCATACCCAACATATTTCTTGGGATAAGCCTCGCCTCATCCTGTCCAAGGCTAACCAGCAGAAGAGGTTTTCAGCTTAGCAAAGGGCTGAAGGATAACCAGTTCCATATCTACTGACTATCTCGAGCAGATGCTGAGGCTGATTCTCGCGCCGCCCTTCCACAATCAACTAGGCTTCGATTCTATAGGAGGTTTACATCTTAGATATTCAGCCCGGTGGCATAAATAAGAGTAGTCTTATTTGAGCCAATGAAAGAGCAGGATAGCTCTCCACATCTATGACCTGCTTCATCACCAGACTTCTAACCCAGTCTAAATGTCTGATCAATCCTTAAGGCATTAAAGCAAGAGACTACCTCCCTAGGACCCAAGCAGAACCACCCCAGACTGTCTAAGAGGAATGGGGAAAGCTAGAGCCCATTGGCCGGAATCCGCCTGTCGACACATCGCCAGATAGACTTGGGAAATGTTGAGATCAAAATGACTTTAAAATCCATTATTCACTACTGCATTTCCCCTCTTCCCTCTCTCGTATATAGAAGAACATCGCTTTCGCTATAGCCGCTGAGGATAGGATTGTTTTGTAATTGATGTCGATCCGCACTTCCAAACGCATCCATGATCATGTGCTATCACTCGAGTTCTGGCGCGGTAGATCAGCTATGTCTTGGCACAAATACCCAGGGCATTTTTCTTTTCTTCTTCCCATCCAACAATTGTCACATTCCAGCCGCCCGCTACCGGTGCCCTAATCATCCCAGATGACCGAAATCCGAAGGATCGATCCAGTGCAGCGAGTGATCTGCGGCAACAGGTCAGGTTCCCCGTGTAAAGAAGAATTTTCTCGAGCAGAACTAAATTTATGTGCGATAAAAGAGATACAGACGTGGCAGACTATCTGGATAATCGAGATCTAGGAGCAGCCGGGTGTAGTGTACTGTACCCGAGTAACCACAATTAGAGTAACCCTTGCCTTCCACGCTCTTATTTTTGCAGCCTCTGTTCCAATGCATCTCGGCTCCGGATTCAATAATTGTTCACCTCTCACAGCCTTCCAGCTTCTTCCTTTCTTCCCTTCGAGCCAATGGATTGAGCATCCATTGGCTCCATTCCAGTATACGTACCGGTACCGCTCCGCACCACGTGGATAATTTGTTAAACCTGACAATGTTCCGCCCGCCGTCCCACCTACTAACCGTGACTCCCCGCGCGCTCATCCAAGTTTCCTATCCCGCCGCTGCCCAAAGCGCACCCCATGCAACCACTCACTAAATTCTCACCACGGCTCATCCATCCGGCGGCTTTTAGTCTACTCAGAGTACTCGTACAAACAGAGAGCCATATCATCTCTCCTTGCAACATCACACAAGAAACTATGTTGATATTTAACAATCCCTTACCAGACATACGGCATCATAGTCTACGTTACTGGTTACCCCAACACCCGGCCCCATGGGCCCTATCAAGGTCCTGAGATCTCGATTGCGATAACTTTGTATGATATGATATAATACGATATTATCCCCCCCCCCTCTCCTTCCTTTCTTTCTCCTCCCCTTCACCTCGGACCGCGGCTTCCTCGAGTACTGGCACCGTATATACGAGTACGAGAAACAAGGGATACTCGGGCGGCCGCAATCGGCGTGGTCAAGAATGCAGCCGCAAAAAAAAAAAACACAACCTCTGGGCATAGTATTATATGACACGAATGAGTGAATTGCACCAAAGCCCTCCCGTCACACTCGCACAGTGCCAGGCCCTCGAATGCAAAAAAACACGGAATTGAGGGTGTGAGAGAACGAAAATCGGGAATTACTCGAGTATGACGTACCAATGCTATAGTACTCGTAGTAGTAGTTTAAAAAAAAAAAAAGGAAAGGAAAGGAAAGGAAACAGGACAAATAAAAAAACAAGAATGGTAAAAAGGAAATATTCTACGAGTACTGTACATCATAGAAGTTGCGGGAAGTCCAATTGCATGTTTTCGCATAACTTAAATTATGCGTCTATCTCGTATACAGTACTGTACTGTATTATCATCTCGCGATCCAGTGAAGATTTTTCAATCCTCTACAAAGATTCTCCAT